ATTAAAGAGGGCACATATTGAATGGAGCACTGGGTGTTATACGCAAACAATGAATCATGGAACACTATATCAAAAACTAATGATGTAATGCATTGTGATTAACAAAATAAAATTTAAAAAAAAGAACAAAAGAACGAATATATACAATCAGAATTTAATAAACTCACGAGAATTTTAATACTATGTTGCATGGGAATTAGGGTAAGTAAAGATGGACTCTTGGACCAGATGAGGAAAGCTGAATTATTTCCTAACTATCTAGGATCTATGGAATAAGCAAAATTAAAGCTGAAACCATTGCTTCCTTACTCTACATCATATCAATTCCAAATGGATCAAAGAGGTATGCCTTTAAAAATGAAGCCATTATGGGGCACCTGGGTGGCTCAGTCAGTTAAGCATCCAACTCTTGTTCTCAGCTCAGGTCTTGATCTCAGGCTCGTGAGTTTAAGCCTTGCATAGGGCTCCACACTGGGCATAGAGCACTTAAAAAACAATGAAAATAAAAAATATGTAAATAAAAAAGAAGCCATTAAAAAAACTTGAAAAAAGTGTACAAGAAGTCTTAATCATCTTAATATAGAGATGTTTTTCTAAACAAGCCAATATATCCATAAAAACTAACACTTTCTGTACTCACACACATGTGCTCAGAACACACTCAAACAGAAACAAAAGACAAACAACAAATTGGGGAGAAATAATTATTACATTTGACAAAGGCCTAGATCTTATTATAAAGTGTTGTTACAAAGAAACAACGAAGAGATTAATAACTCAAAATAAAAATAAAGGACATAAGCAGACCACAGAAAAATTCATGCAAATGACCTTTAAGAGATGTGATATATAATTTGAAGAATATCAAAAGAATGTAAATTAAACACAGAGCTAATCATTTTTCATCTGTGAAATTTGCAGAGATGAAAAACCCTCATAGTGTTTAGCATGGCCAGAGTGTAGAAAAAAATGAGCCCTGGCATATTATTGTAGGGAGATACACATTCCACCTTTTGAAAGTCAGGCTCAAAAATAGATAAACAAATAAATAGGAAAAGAAATTCAGGCTCATGGGTCAGCTGGACTTCGACTAGTTCAGCATTTTGATGTCTGTGCAGAGGACAACTGGGCAAGATCTATCAGAATTTTTTTTAAGATTTTATTTATTTATTTATTTGAGAGAGAGAGAGAGAGAGCCAGCACAAGGAGGGGGAGGGACAGAGGGAGAGGGAGAAGCAGGCTCCCTGGAGCCTGACCTGGGGGCTCAATCCCAGGGTCCTGGAATCATGACCTGAGCCAAAGCTTAACCTACTGAGCCACCCAGGTGCCCCATCAGAATTTTAAATGCATATTCTTTTTTTTAATGTTTTTAATTTAAATTCAGTTAATTAACATTAATGTATTATTTGTTTCAGGGGTACAGGTCTGTGATTCATCAGTCTTATAGAATACCCAGTGCTCATTACAACACATACCATATACTCTTTGATCAGCAATTATACCCTGAGATTTTATTCTACAGATAAACATGCACACACAGGCAAAGATGTATAAATGAAGATAGTCACACAAAAGACCAAAAAAAAAAAAAAAAACCCGACATGACCTTGAACAGTGGACTGATGACATAAGGTTTGGTTCACATTCATATAAGACTAGTATGTGGCCACTGGAAAAAAAATGTGCCAGTGTCATATATCTCTTTAGTATATGAAGCATAAAAGCATAGAAAATAATGTATTGCACAAACCCGTTTGTTGACAATAAAACAAAACAAAACACAAACAAAAAAATGCAGGCCAGGGAAAGAAGGAAGGGAGGGAGAGAGGAAGGAAGGAAGGGAGGGAGGGAGGGAGGGGAGAGAGAGGGGGGAGGGAGGAAGAAAAAGAGATAAATAGAGAGACAGGCAGACAAGGCTGAGTATGCAAACCATCAAGAAACCACTGGGAAAGGGCCTGGGAGGTCAGTAGGCTCACTTTTCACAGTACCCTTTCACACTATTAGGGAAAAAATTACCATCTGCACATACTACTTTTTCAATTTAAAAACTAGCTAGATTATAAAGATGATGTTGGCATCACCCTCAAAAGGATTCTGTGTAATAGTAATAGTGATGTTAGTAAAACAGTAAGATTTTTTCAGTCTTGTTTGGTTAATGCTTTTATTATTACAAGGTATAAAATTTTAAATAAATAGCCCAAATAAAAAAATAGCGACTCAATAATCCAGAAGGGAGACAGGTTTAGTTGAGAATAAGCTATTCAACCTAAAAAGCCTATACTTGATGTACTAATAAATATTTTATTTTGGAAAGATGGCCTAGAAAGACAGCTTGGGAAGGTTAAGCTCATTTGTAGCTATCACCACTCCCTACCCATCCCCAACAATGTATTCAAATTCAATGCCAAAAGTTACTTATTAAACTCAAGCGATATTGTGCCCTGGGAAAACTATTATAAACTTGGCCTGTGGGAGAGCTGATCTCTTAATGAAATACAGAACAACTGTCTTAGAAAGCCGAAAATGGGCAATCGTCATGTAAGTATTTATTGCCTTTGGGAGTCAAACAAAGTTTTCGTTTTAGTTAGCATGTGGAGAAGTTTAAACTAAACTATGAAATCATGATTGATACCTTTACGCTTGATCATTGTGATTACTCCTTATTGTTGGTTTTCACAACGGCATGCCAGGCTTTTAAAATGCACTTGCAATATACTTTTTCTCCATTAGTCAAAAATCTCTTAGGAGGGGCTAAAGAGAAGCATTTAAAATGAGACAGTAAACAGAGCCAACGGTTCATATGGATTTGCAGAACATATGACCAAAGCTGTTCGTTGTGGCGAAGTCGCACAAAACCTCACAGATTATGCTCATCCGAGTTTTGTGGGGAAGATAGGTTCGTGTTGCAAATATCCATAGGCCAAGGTAAAAGTGTTCCTACAAGGGACCTTGGGCTGAAGGTGAAAATATTCCAGTATTATTTCTAAGCAGCATCAAACATTCAGATATTTGCAGATATCCAGGGAATGGACTTAATGTTTGGGGTTTTTGTGGGTTTTTTTCTGAAATGTCTAGGCCCATGGGAATACTGTGTCTATAAACTATGAATGACTGAAAACTGCCTACAATACTACCATTTGGAACCAACTATGCCCAAGGCAGGGCACAGTTAAATCTTGATTTTTTTATGTATCTAAAGCTGTGGCAATAACCATTTTAATAAGGTCTTACTGAACCTAGCTCCCCACAGCAGTGACTTATTCTATGTAAAGTAGGACCAAAGAGAATAAAACTCCAAAATGTTCTGTAAACTATAACTTTGTTTAGAAGTTTTTTTCCCTTGCTACAAATTAAACTTGCACTCAGTGGTTGCAAGCCTACAAATAACTTCTTCGGGGAGGTGTCATATTTAAAATCTTCCGTAGATAACATTTTTTTTTTTTTTTTTGCTAGCCAAGAGCCTGCCGTTCAGTATATCTTTCAGAGATACTACTTTTGATAGCTGCAGAGAGCCCCTGCCATAGCCGTTTAGGAAGACATTTTCATCTTTTAAGTGTCATCCCCATGAGGCAGCTGGCTTATGTGAGTGGTCTAGCATTTTTATGTATTTCTTTTCTGAATCCTCAGAGCCAGTCTTACTCCCTCTCAGAAGGCAGTCAACAGTTGCCCAAAGGGGACGTCCAACCCTCGGCAGCCGGGCAGCCTCTCAGCCACCCATCAGGGAGTGGACAGCCAGAGGCCCAACAGCCTGTAAGCATTTGGTTTTCCCTCCAAATCATAAGTATGACTGGGCTCTCTCATGGGCCCAGTATTACTCACCAATGACTTGTCCAACTGCACCCTCCACAATCCTCCAGCCTGCAAATGTCATCAGCAGGCATGACTTCCAAGCAGGGAAATCTTTCCCTGGAAAATGTCTGTTACAAGGTTTGCAGCTAATGTAAAAAGGTGATCTAGGAGCTCTGCTTCCCTTCCCTACAGTATCCCCTTAATCATGCCTTATAATGGACAGCATGATGCTACCATATGGTCACTACGATATTTTAGAAAACGCGAATGGAATTTAACATGGCACAAGGAACGAATGTGTTCTAAGACTGTGTTTCTAAGTAAGCAAATGCAAAACCTTCTTAAAGGACAGAAAATCATCCTGGTAATGACTTCGATTATTTATATTAGAAAGCAACGTGAATGTGTACAAACTTCAAACTATAATGCTTCTGGTTCTGAAGCAACTGCACAACCAAAACCAATATATAAAACTAAATACTAGTAAAATCCAAGTTGAGAATGTGCAAGCAAATGCATGTTAGTGATTTAGTGTAATAGATAATGTTATTTTGCTGGAATTAAATGGCCACAGTCAATGTAAAAAATGGTCCTGATTACTATAATGTGGTTTCTTTTGTGTTACAGCATGTCTAAAATATGATGTGGTGTGTAACTTTTTAGTTCTACTATAATGTTTCTCTAGTCCAAAACTGAGAAACTTTTGTTTATAAGACTCCCTATAAAACAATCAGGACTTCTCTTGGCTAACATGCATGACTTTTGCATTAAACTTACCTCCCTCTGTTCTCTATTCTTTTATCATTGGCTTGCAACAATTAAAACACGGCTATCTGGCTTATATACAATCATAAATAGAAACATAAATGTAGGTGTTGAAACTGTGTGTTAGCCCTTGGTCATCCTGACGATTTAATACATTTTACATTAGTTTTTAAGTTATTACCAGCAAGCGGCAAACACAGATTAGGAAAGTTACAAATTCCCAAGGATATGTCCACGGACCCGGATCCACAGACAACTGCTTGACAAACAATACTCCAAAGCCAGTAGGATATTGGCCAGGAAATTACGTTTTCCAAGGAACTGTGATATAGAGGCCTTCCTAGCCAATTCTGAAAACTGAAAATTACTTTTTTATTTTGTGCTTTCCCCCAGTTCTTTCGCTATCATTAATGATTTCTTTAACTGAAGACATAGTGCTGGTGACTAACCTATTTGGAGCAGTAACAACCGAGATAAGGAGTTACTATCATTTGCTAAATCACACAATGTTCAGAGTTTGCTTAGCCTAGAGGACATGACCTTATGCTCAGTGAACTTTGTGCATCAACAGAAAAATAAGATCCACAGGAAAATCTGCTTCAGTTTAGCAAGATGACTCTGCTGTTCTCTTGCGTGGGTTGTTTTCAGGAGAATCGCTATCTGGAGGAAAATACAGAATTGAGATCAATAGTGAAATCCCTTTGCCATTAGAGTAGGGCTGCAGGGTATGGACAGAGCAATAGGGAGGGAGCAAGATTTAGGGGAGCCGTGGCCAAATGTTGAAATAATCACAAACTCAAGAGGACTTATGATTTCTGGAAAATTCTTTGTAAGGCTGATGAACAGGCACGAGGAACGACTTGCCTTGCCCCTCAAAGTTTGGTCTCTGGGTTAGTAGCAGCATCTACGTTACCTGGGTGTTTGTTAGAAATGCAGAATCCCAGGCCCATGGCGACCTCTTGAATCAGATCTGCATTTTAGCAAGATCCTGCGGTGATTCTTATGCGCTTGACAGTCTGGGAAGCACTAGACTAGGGAGCAAGTTCTCACACTTGGCTGCACATTGGAATCACCAGCAGAGTTTTAAAAACCACTGAAGCATGAGCCCCACGGCCAAAGAGTCTGAATTAACTGGTCTGGTGGTTGGCCTGGGCACTGGGACTTGCAAATGCTCCCCAGGTCCTGCTAAATGTGCAGCTGAGTTTGGGAAATGCTGAACTGGAGCATAACACTATTCTTCCAAGAACAGATCAGCATACCACCGAAGAAGCAGGTATCATTGTAAGTGCCCGTAAGTGAAAAACAACTTGTCAATGTTAGAACATCTGCTCAGCGATCTGCCACGGTGTTTGAGAACATGCCACATTTATGATTTGCTTGTGCCAATATTTAGCCAACATAAATCTTGTCTAAAATGGAAAACAGTTTGGGACTTACAGGAGGGGAATAGGTAAGCTCAGACGCAGGTGGATTAGGAACACCCAGGAGCCAAACAACAGGTGGGAATCGGTCCAGATGCCTGAGAAAAGAAGGGAGGCTCTGGAGGGAAGTAAAAATGTGAACTGGGAATTTGGGATAAAGTAAGTATGGCTTTAACCGAGAGTGTGCCTTAAAGTGTGATCCCAAACCCCAAGGAATTAGTGAAAGAAACCAAGCAGAAACCAGCCTAGACCATGCAGTCCTACCTCTCCTATCAGGAAATCATTTATCCCAGAAAATTAGTCCTTCAGAACACCACCATGGCTATAGGAGGAAATAAAAAGTGCCTCTGATGTCAAAACATGACATGTACTAAAGCATTCCTTCTTCATTTAAAAACAAGCCTCCCCCTCAAAGCTGGCTGTATTTTATTTTATTTTTTATTTAAATTCAATTAGCTAACATATAATACATCATTAATTTCAGATGTAGAGTTCAGTGATTCATCAGTTATATATCATACCCAGTGCTCATGACATCACGTGCCCTCCTTAATGCCCATCACCCAGTTATCCCATCCCTCCACCCACCTCCCCCCCAGGAACCCTCAGTTTATTTCCTAGAGTTAAGAGTCTCTGATGATTTGTCTCCCTCTCCGATGACTTCCCATTCTGTTTTCCCTCCCTTCCCCTATGATCCTCTGTGCTGTTTCTTATATTCCACCTATGAGTGAAACCATATGATAATTGTCTTTCTCTGATCGACTTATTTCGCTCCGCATAATACCCTCCAGTTCCATCCATGTCAATATAAATGGTAAGATTTCATCCTTTTTGATGGCTGAGTAATATTCATTATATATATAAACCACATCTTCTTTATCCATTCATCTGTCGATGGACATTTCAGCTCTTTCCACAGTTCGGCTATTGTGGACATTGCTGGGTGGCATGTGCCCCTTCGGATCACTACATTTGTATCTTTGGGGTAAATACCCAGTAGTACAATTGCTGGGTCATAGGGTAGCTCTATTTTTAGCTTCTTGAGGAACCTCCATACTGTTTTCCAGAGTGGCTGCACCAGCTTGCATTCCCACCAACAGTGTAAGAGGGTTCCCCTTTCTCTGCATCCTCACCAACATTTGCTATTTCCTGACTTACTCAGTTTTTGCCGTTCTGACTGGTGTGAGGTGGTATATCATTGTGGTTTTGATTTGTATTTCCCTGTTGCCAGGTGATGTTGAGCATTTTTTCATGTCTGTTGGCCATTTGTATGTCTTTGGAGAAATGTCTGTTCATGTCTTCTGCCCATTTCTTGACTGGATTATTTGTTTTTTGGGTGTTGAGTTTGATAAATTCTTTATAGATCTTGGATATTAGCCCTTTATCTGATATGTCATTTGCAAATATCCTCTCCCATTCCATAGGTTTCCTTTTAGTTTTGTTGACTGTTTCCTTTGCTGTGCAAAAGCTTTTTAATCTTGATGAAGTCCCAATAGTTCACTTTTGCTTTTGTTTCCCTTGCCTTTGGAGGTATGTCTAGCAAGAAGTCGCTGTGGCCGAGGTCAAAGAGTTTGTGTGTTCTCCTCTAGAATTTTGATGGATTCCTATCTCACATTTAGGTCTTTCAACCATTTTGAGTTTATCTTTGTGTATGGTGTACGTAAATGGTCCAATTTCATTCTTCTACATGTGACTGTCCAATTTTCCCAACACCATTTGTTGAAGAGACTTTTCTTTTTTCCATCAGATATTCTTTTTTTTAGATTTTATTTATTTATTTGACAGAAAGATAGCAAGAGAGAGAGCACAAGCAGGGGTGAGAAGTAGGGGGAAAGGGAAAAGCAGGCTCCCTGCTGAGCAATAAGCCCAACATGGGGCTCGATCCCAGGACCCTGCGATCATGACCTGAGCCAAAGGCAGATGCTTAACCGACTCAGGCACCCAGGCACCCCTCCATTGAATATTGTTGCCTGTTTTGTTGAAGATTAGTTGACCATAGAGTTGTGGGTCCATTTCTGGGTTCTCTATTCTGTTCCATTGATCTATGTGTCTGTTTTTGTGCCAGTACCATACTGTCTTGATGATGACAGCTTTGTAACAGAGCTTGAAGTCCAGAATTGTGATGCCACCAGCCTTGCTTTTCTTTTTCAACATTCCTCTGGCTATTTGGGGTCTTTTCTGGTTCCATACAAATGATTGCATTGAATGTGTAGATTGCTCTGGGTAGCATAGACATTTTAACAATATTTGTTCTTCCAATCCATGAGCATAGAATATTTTTCCATTTCTTTGTGTCTTCCTCAATTTCTTCCATAAGTGTTCTGTAGTTTTTAGAGTACAGATCCTTTACCTCTTTGGTTAGGTTTATTTCCACATAAAGTATCATGTCATCTGCGAAGAGTGAGAGTTTGACTTCTTTGCCAATGTGAATGCCTTTTATTTCTTTTTGTTGTCTGATTGCTGTGGCTAGGACTTCTAATACTATGTTGAATAGCAGTGGTGATAGTGGACATCCCTGCCATGTTCCTGACCTTAGGGGAAAAGCTCTCAGTTTTTCCCCAGTGAGAATGATATTCACTGTGGGCTTTCCATAGATGGCTTTTATGATATTGAGGTATGTTCTCTCTATGCCTACACTGTTGAGAGTTTTAATCAAGAAAGGATGCTGTATTTTGTCAAATGCTTTTTCTGCATCAATTGAGAGGATCATATGGTCCTTGTTATTTCTTTTATTAATGTGTTTTATCACGTTGATTGATTTGTAGATGTTGAACC